AGGCTTCTCCTACTGTGGGCAGACTCAGTAAGGACACAATGGAGAGAGCATGTCTCTCAGCTCACTTGGAAATACTTTAGTATGTCAACAGGAAGGAGGCGAGGAGGTGGCTCTTGGCATCTATTAATTGGATGGTTGGTGGTTCCATGTCTGGCAAGATCCTAAGCTCAAGTTCCTCTTCCATTCATCCATCAGAGCGTGAATGTTACACAGAAAGCACTTAAGAATATAAAAAGTGCTTGTAAGAATGGGTGAATGACATTTGTTGTGTGAAGTGCTTTGAGTAATAAAGCAGAAAAGAGCTATAGCAGAATCAGTCCATTTCCCATTTACCTCCTGTAAAATGTGGATAACCACCTTTGTGTGGTTGCTTAGCCTGATGATCCATGTTAGTGTAAGTGAAGCTAGTTAAGAGAAAAAGCTGTCTTGGGTTTATTGAACTTCCCTCATAGTACAGGCCCCATGAGCAACAACCTAGCTACTGGAGGAAAACTACAAGCTTTGTCACCAGGTAACCCTCAAAATCCAGTGAGAGCACGAGTTCTCATGTGTGCCTGCATCCATGAATGCGTTTGCAGATCAACACACCTTATTTGGTTATAATGTACTGGAGGGAAGTGGCAGCATGGGTGAAATGACAGAATGTGGGCAAACAACATTTGAGTTTAGTCAACACTTTATGGCAACAGGAACTCGTAGACTTGCACACTGGTTATAAATTTCATATTTCATTATTATTGCAAGGAGCCCGTCTGTTCTGTAGCTATCACCTCTATTATCTTCTTCATCTTCTGTATTTTCACTTGCATACGTTCCAAACCTCTAATTACAGAGTAAACCAATGCCAATTTTTCATGAATAATGGGCATTAACGTTCCTAAATTACAAATAGGAATTCAAAGTAGTAGACAACCTGTACACCGACGTCATCTGCGTGACGACACGGACACACCCATTTCTCAGCTGCACGCAGCTCCAGGCTTGTACATCAGCTGACACACAGCTCTAAATGTCAACAGCTTCTCAAATCCAGTGTGTATGAATCTCATAAAACTTATCTGCCCCCTTCATGTTCTTCAGTTTCAGCCTAGATGACTTAAAGCAACGATCAATTAACTCATTACCTAAACGCCACTTCAGAAAATCATGTTTCTCTTTAACTAAGCACACACCTATTCCCCGTAAATGCAAACTAAGCACTCCTTCCTGTTTTGCTAAAGCATTCACATTCAAGTGATGCCTGAAGGCAGCTGGAAATAGTGAGTGTTGTTTTACAGCAAACACCAGTATTGTGCCTGCATGCACCTGCCTTTCCTATATACACACACACACACACACACACACACACACACACACACACACACACACACACACACACACACACACACACACACACAACACTATGAAAGCAACAAAGCTTTGGACAACACAAGCTTCACCAGGTCACAGCAAACAGCCAAACAAAGCAAGGTGCAGGAGATCTCTGCACAAGCTCTTTGCAGGACCAGACAGTGGACCCATCATACATTATTAACAAGAAGCAAACTATCCATTTCCACTTATACTGACAGGTTGTTGGTTCTTACAGTGTGGTATGGGGGCCACTAATGGCCTCCAGCACCAAGCCACCACCAATAATCAATTAAGATAATAGCAATCACCAACTACTAATTTTTCACCAAACAATTGATTGGGAGACTCGAATGTCAGAATGAGCTCATGTTTCTGAGCTTTGGAAAACCCATCTTAGGCTCTAAGATCCTGTGGAAATTTGTGCCACATTTTAACAAAACATGGGTCAGTTAAATCCACTATTCTCGTTACATTTGTAGGGGAAAACGTTCTATAAAAAAACAATACTGCTTAACTTAAAAAGTTAAAACAGCTATTTTGGCTTCACACAACTTGTGTCAACAGAAATGTCTGGATTTCAAAGGATGAGTATCTGTGAGCCAGTTTTGGCTTTATTCAGACCACGTTTGCAGGCTTCAGGACATCCAACTTGATAAAACTTACTTGAATGGAGTCGTTCGCCATGGCTGTCCCTGTTGCTGCCTTCAGTCCGTGCAGATTCACGGACCACTTGTGCACATGTGGGGATTCGGCTCACAGATGAACGCGATGTCTCCTTTCTTAAGGCAATAAAATAAGAAAAGATACTCGTATAGGCCTGCGAGTCTTATCTCAACTTCAGGCAAATGTGTAATAACACAAAGGCAAACAGTCAAGGGGTAATCCGCATTGTAGGTCCGCCTGTGGCCGCGCCTGAACTGATCCACCCTGTGTTGTTTAACCAGCGTTAGCCCCCACTCCAGTCCACGAACAATCAAAACGGCTCCACCGTGTGTGCGCGTTTTAACAAGAGACACAAGTCATTCAGATAACTGCAAACTACTGAGCTCCGCAGTCATTCATCACCATCCTCTTCTGTGAGTATCTGCCATTCAACAGCTAAAAATCCAGCAGCACGTCCCTGCTGAACGGTCACATCCACAGCCGACATGAAACCAGAGGAGATCCCCCGTCTTCCCTCTCCCCAGCTCCCGGTTACATCCGTGAACACGCCTCACAGCCTCCTCTCTCTTATCACATGCCTAAGAAGAAAAAACCCGCCTGTCAGTCCTTCACACAGCCGCAAACCCGGGACAGCGGGAAGCTAACCTGGGCGTTACACATCCCACTCTGGACTCAAGTCAAAAAACACCACAAAAGAGCTCCTTCTTTGTTTTGCCGCTCGAGATGGACAGCCTCACCCGCCGTGAGACATCCAGGCAGCGGTTAACTGACGGCAAAGCGGCAGCACGCAACACTTGTACGCGAGACCCCGGCCGCGCGCTCCCGACGCCCTTCCAAATCGACCGGGCTGCTCATTGGTCCAGAGCGGGGCAGCGGGGGCGCGCAGGATAGGTCATGTGACATGCTGCAGCGCTGCTTGTTACCTTGTAATGAACCAACTGTTGAATTTGTAAAGCACGCAGAGCCTTTACCTGCCTCATGGTGATTCTATTCAGAAAATACACACAAATACATAAACAAAATAGATCTACATCAGTATGTACAACAGCCTGTCTCACCGAAAAATGAAGAATAACAACCGCAGTACAACTTCAGCCTGAAGGTACCTGATTATTATATATTGTTTTATAAATAATATGGAAACTAACACTCCTGTCGGCTAAAGACAGGAAACTGAGGCTAAAAGTTGCACAGACTCACCCCAAATTATCTGGACATCAGAAAATTTGGATGAAATTTGCTGGTCTGACGAGTCTTATTTTCTGCTCCAACACCCAAACGGTCAGCGTAAAACAACATGAAACCATGGATCCATCCTGCCCCTTATCAACAGCTCAGCCTGGTAGTGGTGGTGTAATTTTGTGGTGGATATTTTCTTGGCACACTTTGGGCTCCTTTGTACCGAAAGAGCATCATTTAAACACCCCAGCTTACTCCAGTATTGCTGCTGACCACTTCCAGCCCTTTATGACCAAAACTACAGGTCTCAAGTGTCTGAAGACAAGTAATTTGCCATTGGAACAACACATAATACAGATTATAACACACCATTAGCCATCCCACTTTCACGTTTACATCAATAAAGAAAAACCCTGCCTTTGAAAAGCCATAAAAAAACCCAGATTTACAGCTATGGAGGCCCACCTGTTTAACAGGCTGATACTCTCTCATTGAGCAGAAATGTTAATAATAATGTAATACAAACCCTGCGTGTGGGAGAGAGAAGCTCATGACAGGGTCAGTTGATGTTAGGGTGGTGTGAGTGGGTGTCTGTGTTAGATTTAACAAAGATAAACTGATGCACATTTGCATATCTCATTTGCATCATGAAAATCTTTCAGCGGGGGCAGAGGACAAGAGCAGGGACAGAGGACTCACATACCATATCCTAAATATATGTTAAATGTGTAGGCTCACAACGATAAACTTAATACAGCTGAGTCACCTACGGTCATCAAAGAGCTGACTCGAGCAGTGAAAGGCAGCAATGACTCATGATAAGGCAAACAGATGTCTGTAATAAACTGTTAAAATTTCCACACAGATGTTTTAGTCCAGTTGTTCTGGGGGGTGGAGTTATTTAGGTTATGAAAAACTTTTCTTATCTCGGTGATATCTGCTAACAGAGCACGGCATGATGGTTAATCTCTCTCTGTATGAAGGAGGGACTGAAAACAAAAATAGGTGTATTTGCACAAGCTTTGAAATGCAAGCACTAGTTTTATATTGGTATTTGTCATATTGGCTGATATCTGCCTATAAACAAATGTTTAAAGAGGACCTATTAAAATTTAGTGTTTTCAATTTGTTTTTATTATTATTAGTAGTAGTAGTATTTAGGTTTCAGTTTCGTTTAGTTTCAGTCATTTTCCAGAGCCGCATTGAAAGTTTCACTTTAGTTTTCAACTGTAGAAACTGTTCATTTTCAGTTTGATTTGTATTAGTTTCAGTGTTAGTTTAAGATTTAAGATTTCCCTCAATTTCACAATAACAATAATTCAAATATGTGGCATAAAATCAATAATAATCAGCTATCATTTGCTCCAGCGCATCTGTTTTAGCATATTTGTGCTGCAGGAGAAAAAGAAAAAAAAATCGGTTTCTTTCTGCCACAGGGAAAATAATGAATTAAAAAATAAAATAAAAGCTTACTAGAGTTAAACCAAGTCTCAGGGACTTGAGTCAAAATTTTCAGTTATGAATTAAGTATCTCGAAAGTTAATTCGGAATTTCAAGATATCTTGAAATTTCAATTTATTAGGTGGAAATTTTGACTCACAGACCCATTTATGTGTTTTTGTTCTGTTGCTTTTCAGTGTCAAATAAAAAATTAAATTAAAAAAAACTTTAAAACAAAAAATTAAATTAAAAAAATAAAGAAAAATAAAGAAAACGCACAATTGCAGGCAGTGTAAAATCGTGAAGCTTATAACTTTACGTGATTTATTTTTTTTATTTACTTTTTTGTTGCTAGGCAGGGACCTTTGACCTTGGACAAGAGGCTGACGTGCAAAAGAAGGGTAACGGCTAACAGCTAAGCTAGCGAAGTTGTTAATGGTAAAGCCGGCTCCCAGTAAACGTGCTAGTGAGCTGGGGCGAGCCCAGCTTAACATTTAATAATCGTTTTTCGTTAATTCTAATAAAAACAGTATTTTGCTGCCAAATTTCACTTTCTTTCCGTGTTTGCGTCTCATAGCTAGCTAGATCGCTGTGTTATCGTGAATTAGCAGGACGTTAGTAAAGAGTCCACTCGTGATGCCTGTGGCAAAGCCAGAAATGCTTCTCTAATGTAGTTTGATTTTCAGCAGCTGTTCAGTTAACGTCCACTTGCCTGCAGCGGGAAGCATGTCGGTCACTGAAGTGTCAGCATCAGGGCAACACCTGGATCTGGATCTGCAGGATTCAAACGGCAAGGACCGTCTGCAAATCGGCACATATACAGGTCAGAGGGTAGAAGACACTGTAGTACATGTCAGTGCAAAAGAAGATTGGCTGTTAGGAGGAGGATGAAGAGTGGGCAGGTGGCTGGTCCGGATCACATACCTGTGGAGGTATGAAGATGTTTAAAAGAGAGGGCACCGTTTAACACAGTTTTGGAGAGTTAGAGGAAGAAACTTATTTGGTACTTATTTTCAAGAACAAAGGTGTAAGAGCTGTAGTAACAACAGAGGGATAAAGCCGATGAGACATACTATGAAGCTGTGGGAAAGAATCGTTTAAGCTAGTTTAAGGAGACAGGTGACGATCGCTGATCGCCAGTATGGTTTAATGATGACAAAGAGCACTACTAGGAATTTGCTGTCGGTGCCTTGATAGAGGATTACAAGGCTGGCCAGCAGGACATGTATGAATACAGGTGTGTGGTAGGAATAACAGATGGATTAATGAGAATAGGGAGGAGGTGGAGGTATGCTCTGGAGAGAAGAGGAATGAAAGTCAATAGAAGCGAGACAGAATACATGTGTGTGAATGAGAGTCTGAGGTGTAACAGTGAAGATACAAGAAGGACAGTAAGTAAAGGTAGATGAATTGAAATACCTGGGTTCAACCATCCAATTTAATGGATAGTGCACAAGAAAGGTGAAGCAGACAGTGATTGGTGGGTGGAGTGGGTCGAGATGACTGTTTGGAGAAGCAGAAAGAGCGATAAAGTTGCAATATGGTAGTGAGACCTGCTATGATGTATGGTTTGGAGACGCCAGCATTAGCAAAATGGCAGGAGGCAGAGTGAGCAGGAGAGATTAGAAATGAGTGCATAACTCAGTTTGAGTAGTTTGGACATAAAGTTAGAGTCAGCTGATCGATACATGAATTTGTAGGAACATCACGGTTACACATTTGTTTTAGTGTAATCGCACCACAAAAGTGATGTAGAGACTGGAACACAGGAGGCTGTATAAAGAGGTGTTTTGCCATCATCTGTGCAGTTGTTTTCTATTATTTTTTCATTTATGTGGGTATAGCACATGCGCACCATTCATTTTATGGTTTAGTAAAATTCTTTTAAATGTTTAGTAATAAATATAAAGTGAAAAATGGTTTTGATCACAGGCGTGCATGGTTTTTCTCCTAAAAAAAATAAAAAGTAGAAAATGAATGAATAATGAATCGGAAAAAACATAATATTAATTCAAGAAAAGAAAACCAATTTTAAAAAACAACATAAAATGTAAATAAACATCTAACAACCCTTTTAATTTACTGTTACTTTTATAATTTTTCTTTCTTTTCTTTCATAAATTCATAAACATTTGAAGCAACAAACCAATCAAAATGAAATCGTTCCAGTCTGATCCAAAACCCTGTAAATTGATGTGGTTTAAACCTACAGGAGAACATCAGCCTCTCCATCATGTAGTCAACAGTATGGAGACGTTTTTGGTAATGGCTTTCTTTGCAGTCAGCATTACTCTAAAAATATCTCTGTCTCCAAAGTTTCTAATTCTTGTATTTCTTTTTCAGAAAATATTAAACCTTAATGAAAGAGCACTGCGAAGCGATCATCATCATGCTGTTCTCTGTGTTTATGCACATGATTAGGTGTTTCAGAGGCGGAGAAGCAACTATCGTTTTTAGCTGACGTTGCTGTGGCGCCATCCTGTGCTAAATATGGGTGCTGCAGCTGCCCAGACTTGAGCCAGGTTGAGAAAAGCATCTGGCTGCAGCTCCAGTTCTTCTTGAGCAAAACAGATTGCGTACTTGACTGCCTCATCCAGGGGTAGGTTCCTGCTTTGTTGCACTCATTTTGGTCATTTCTCTGTATCATGAAGGGTTTTTTGTGTCCTGGCAGGCAGAAGTGTGTAAGCAGGGACACTGTAGTTACTGCTGTGCAGAATTTCCTGTACACCTGTCAGCCTTTCTTTAACCACCTGGAACACCTAACCAGAAGCATCGTGTCCCAAAGCAACCCTCTGCCAGCTGAGAGTTGCACAAGGGTAAATTTTCACAGTTTTATAGCATTTTTTTCCTCATGCATATGAAAAGTTTGGAAAGTTACCATGCTCAGATTGCAAGCTAAAAGGAATTTCAAACACCATAAACATTGCTGAAGTTGTAGGGTTGTTTTTTTTACCCCCCCCCCCAACTCTTGATGATAAACACCTGCATTTAGAAAAAACATTTGTTTACTTGTTAATTAAATTGATTTGAAAATCTCAAATAAAGGAAATCATGTAGGCAACAAACACTTTTCTCACCACTGTAGTTGACTTTGATTGGAAGCAACAGGTTCATCTGTTGAGTAGTTAAATTATGTATTTGACAGAAAGCTTATTGCACTTCATATAAGAAATGAATCCTATGTTGTTGTGGTCAGTCGCTTCAGAACAGTGTGTGCATCAGCTGTTGGAACAAACTGCCCGAGCGGGAGGTGTATCGGTGCCGTGTGTGTCTACAACTTGAAAATTTTGTGGTTTATATTTACTCTAAACTGTGTGTGTGTGTGTGCAGCTGTTGGACTTCTCTCAGCAGCTGTGTGACAAGTTGGAGCAGATGCTGCTGAGGTGTTCCAGCTACAATCTTCTCAGTTTGGATGAGAAGGAGCCCCAAAGGTGCATGCTTATGCAAACGAATACTTGCTTTTGTTTACGGTGTGTTTGTACTATCAAGCAGAATTTAGTCTTATCGAGCTACAGTTGTGGGTGGAAGTTTACATCCACTCATTATGGGAATGAATGTCATACTTTTAAAATTTTGAACCGTTCTTTTTCAAGAATTGGGTGCACAAGTTTGAATTTATTTTGGATTTTCTCTAAAGTCAAAAAATATAAATTAACTCACTCAAGCCCTGTAATAAGTGGAGATGGAGATTCTATAATGAACTCTAACTTGACAAGGCCAAGCCTGACTAACACACATTAACCTTGTGTTAGTGATCATGATTGACTAAAACTGGTAGTTTCTCTTTGCTGCATAAAAAGGATTTGTTGGACAGCACACATTGGATTTAGAACAATGAGAAAGTCCGAGGAACTCTGAAGATCTAAGGAGGAGAACTGTAGATTTATAGAAGTCAGGAAGGTCTTCTTTTGGAGCCATTTCTAACTGCAGACCCAAACGGTCACCCACAGATGGGATCGGTTAGGATGCTCAGGAACCATCCAGGAGCCAGCAAAGCTCAAGCCTGCCATGAAACTGCTGGAGCCAATATCCAGCCAGAATTATTCCATGAGCATATTAGCGGGAATGTATGTATACTTTGACTCTGTATGGATTAGAGTCAATCCAAAATAAATTCAAACTTGTGCACCCAATTGTTACTGAAGATGTATACTGTGCAATTATCCCACCCTGGAAAAAGAACAGTTCGATTCTATAATAAAAAAAGCCAAAATTTACCATGACATTCATGCCACTGATGTATTTATTTAAACTTTTGAAACTGTTACGTCATTACAAGTTATCAATGTGACTAACTTATGATTCTCCAAATCCTCATCCTCCTGTTGTTTCTGCTCATGTCCACATTTTATATCTAGTACTGTTTAGCTGTCACACATAAACCTGTAATAATTTTAAACCTCATGTGGTCACATTTCTTCCCTGTCCTACAGATTACTTCACATTTTCTTTGCACCTGCGTGCAGAACCTACTGTTGAGAATCAGCATTTTGTGATTCTTTTTTTAATACTCCCATCATTTTCGTCTTCTCTGCACAACCCCAACACTGTGACTGTTGCTATAAACCTTTCACTCTGAACATCAACGGCTTTTGTGTTTTTGTTCCCAGCGTGTCTCAGTTCTGCATCGGCCAGAGTCAGCTCGGCCACCTGAGGCTGACCGTTTTCCGTTACTGTGTACCCACGCCGTACCTCTCCCAGGTCAACACGGGGCTGTACAAACGCATGCGCTGGAATGTGGAGAAACTCCACAACGATGAAGAGAAAGAGGCAGAAACTGATTAGTGAGTCTGGATGTTGAAGCATCTCCATGTTCCGTTTCCTATTTCTTGCTCACTTTAAGTCATTAAAACTTCTCACCTTTCATGTGTCATTCCTGGGTTTCAAGCTACTTCCTGTGCTGTGAGGATTTCAGGCCAAACAGAGGCGCTGATGATAGCTGCGGTCATGATGATCTGAAGGGGATCTGGTCCATTGGTCGCTGGGTGCAGGTGGACCCGGATCCCAACTCAGATGATATAAATGACTGGTAGGCTGCTATTTATGAAAACTCTGAGCTGTGTCCCCGATTAGGATTTTCTGACTCATCTGTGTTCATGTCTCAGGATCTTGTGTGAGGTCCCTCTGGCCAACTACCACAGACTCTTGTTTCTGGGTGAGGACGAGCCGTCTAGCTGCAAGGCTACAGACTCCCTGATGAAGCTGCTTTTGACTCTGGAGACAGATTAGCAACGAGCATCGTTTTGGTGCCTTATACAAGACCTAAGAAACTGTTCAAGGTTTAAAGTACGTTGAATGCAGCGTGTTGCCGATTCATCTGCATCCAGCTGATGCGAGACGTTTGAACATCTAGTTTCAGTTTGGACGTCAGAGCAAGAATTAAGTATTTGTGTGTTTCCGTGTTGTTTGCGATACGTGACCACTTCACTGGTTGGTCACAGCGACTGCATTCAGGCATGCTACTTTTACGTTCACCGCTTCATTCAGACACTCCTGCAGCAGTGATTGAGAGTTGTGTCCTGCCCCACCCAGACGGGCTGAGAGTGGACATGCTTTAACGTTACTGCAAACAATAGAGGCTGTTCTCTGCTCATCTGATTAACCCATATCGACATCTAGAGTCTTGTACTACTGTGACTCGGCATAAACAAATCCTACTACATTTACTGCAGTCATATTAGCATCACAGCTGTTGATGGCAATTGACCAGGAGACCCCTTTAGACCTGAAGCTGAGCTGTTCAGATGACATCTGGAAACCAATCCTTAACCTTAAAAATAAAAGGACAGCGTCTTAAACACATCTGTGGGAACTCTGGGAAAGCGGTGCATGTCTGAAGGGGCTCTATTAGTGCACGTCATCATATTTTAAAGTAGACAAAGCCTGTTGCGCACGAACCCTAGAATGTCCAGCTGTTAGAAGGTTCAGTGTCTTTTAGTTTGCATCTGGACATCAGAAGAGAAACTGTTCTACTTTTGTTAGCTGTAAAAACACAGAGGCGCCTGAAAACCTGAGGAGGTGAAGTTGTTCAATACTGTGAAGTTTGCATGTATGGTTTTTAGGTTGTAAAAGATTTCTGCAGAGTTCATGTCTGATGTTTTCAACATTCCCACAGTTGTACAATTTGTAATCGCTCATGTTGAGAAAAGGCAAAGTGTTATTAAAAAAAAAACCCATTTTATTTACATGAAACATTGCATTGTAATAATTACACACATCACAGATTTGCCTACAGAAATGAACAAAGACATTACACTTCAGAACAAGCTGCCACGGTCTGGGCCTTGAGAGAGACGGCCCGATTCGGTTCATTTCACCCGGTTCATGAAGACATTAAAGGAGCACACACACACAGGCTTCATTTTCAATAAATTACAAAGCAAATGAGAGACCGACGGACTCTGAGCCCAAGTAAATAACGAAATGTGTTCAGTTTGACCTTGTAACCATTCAGCTCATTAGTTCTGTTGGTTGAACATGAAGAAAGGCAATTTACTTAGAATAAAATCTACCATTTACACTCAACATCTTTCATTCTCTATTCAATAAAAATCTAAATATAACTCTTAAAACTGCTACTATAACTCTAAAACTCTGAAGTACAAAAGTAAAGTGGAGTATCCCTTCATTACAGTGATCAGTCTTTAATGATATACCCGCAAATACTTGAAAACACACCAAGGACATAAAAAATACTGAGCGCCACGTGTTCCCCGCCTGGAGCTGCAGGAATGCAAACTTTAGAATACGCTCGAACATGTGGCGGACTCTCTGCTGGAGCCAATCGTGGGAAAGGGCAAAGTACCGAACATCGAGTCTCAGTCTGCGGTTTAATATTCGGGTCCCTGCTTTGAATTCCATTATCAAACACAATTCGGTCTTTATGCCACTGATCCACAGCAGAAAGGCCAAGGCAGCGAGCCAAGAACTGACTCAACAGGATGTGGATGGAGGGGAGGGGCGAGGGGGGACGAGTGCCAGATTTATGAGCCCTCCATTTAGATTCACAACTAGAAGCAGAATTAAACACAAACGGACATCAACATATGGCACTTTTAAACATCTCCTCGCACCTCACAGCAGTGTCGGTTAAACCCAGAGCTCAGTGGTTGCGTTGAATCTGCATCTGACAGCTGGCCTTAAAGCATGCAGTCTGTCACTGAAGCAACGCAAGTATGAGAACCTAAGGAAGACTTTAAATATAACGTTGGGCTACAGATCCTGCAAAAGCATTTAAACACTAACCAGTTCTGTCCATTCTAAACAATGATAAGAACACAAGCTTACTAAAACCTGATTCCAGTGTTTCAAATGGGTTGCACAGACCACAGGTTGTACTGACATTTGGTGAGGAACTGCGATCTGAGCAGCTCAGACTGACATCATTTCCTTCATCTATTCCTAATCTAACGATTTCTTTTACCTCAATCTGGAATCATTTACATTAAAATAGGACAACAGGGACGTCTAGGCCTCAAGAATAACTAGATTTGAACAGGTAAAAATTTAAAACACTATAAGGAATTGAATTAAGTGCAATCTGAGTGTGTTCCCACTTTTACCTAAAGTGATGATGATGCATGTAAACACAAACAAATTAACAGGTATGGCTTTGATTTAAAAACAAAAAAAAACAAAAACAAACACCCACACAACAAAAATCGCAGGTTCAAGTGAGGAACAGTTTGCCTTACTGGGATCAGCAGTTGCTGTTTGGCACTGTGTGCGCGTGAGTACAGAGATTCAGCAACAGTGTCCAGTTCCACCCTGTCAGTCAATAGATGTGGTGCATGATGGGAGTCTGTTAGTGATCGTATGGTTTCAGGTGTGTGATGTTCTAGTGTGTCAAGTTGGTGTTTAGAGTTGTGCGAGAGGTAAGTGAGGTGCTGAGTTTCAGCGTGCGGCGTCAGGTTGTGCTCATCTGCTTGAGTTTCATCGGCAGAGATGAAGCTCGGGTTCTTCGCCTGCAGAGTGAGAGGCTTTCAGCGGAGGCTCTCAGGCGGTGTCACAGCTCAGGTCCTGTTCTTCAGTCTTGCCTGATTTTACATGCACGTTAAAGCAGACCTAAAAATTGGGTTTGAATATCACTGAAGCAAGCCTGACTGATTTAGAATTTTAAGACTAATGTTTGGCAATTCAAAAATTTGACATTGGTTGATTTGTTTGTTTTCTTTAAAATTGTCCTTGCTGTCCTTTCAGCTCGGGCTCTAATCTGATCCCTTTTCTCATTCAGAATAGTAAAAATAAACGAGCAAAGAAATACAACCAAACATACGGTAACTGACGCTATGGATACATTTCTTTTTATAGTGTTGGCAATGAACATTTTTCCTACTTGCAGAGAAGAATTTTAAATATTTACCTAAAGACGTTTCACCTTTTCAGTCCATTTAGTTTAATTTACCATCTTAAATACTGCCTGAGAGTCTTACTCATTAACTTTTTTGCATTAATTAACAGCAACGTGTTTGGAGAACCAGCCAATAATTCAACTGTAGCACCACCAAACATTGGTAACAGTTTTGTTTGTGCTCGTTTTCACAGTACAGGAAGAAAAACCATCATCTCTGAAATTAACTCGGGGCAGTGGTTCCAAACTTTTTTGGACTTACACTCTCTTAAAAATAACATTGGTCACTTTTTGCCACAGCTCTGAATTTTAGCTGCTTTCAAAGCCCCCAGTAAGTAGACATACTCAGTAGTTTGGAAGAAAAACAAGATTCAAAGAAAGTCTAAAAAAATAAGGAGTGCGTGGAACAAAGTCATTCGCCACCCTGGTTAGGAACCACTGATCTACAGCACCACATGATCATGGGTCTGGGCAGAGTAATACAATTTGCCTTTGTGATCCCTTCGTGTACTCTGAAAATTGCAAGTGACTTAAGTGTGATCTCATTTATGTTCCTTATCAGATTATGTAATATTGATGATGCCCAGCCCAAAATGTTTACCTCAATCCATACGGCTCTTCTCCAGGAGTGAATATCGGGAGTTTATACAGTAGACTGTTCGTCACCCTGTGGTGTGTGCATAAACTGGCAGGACTTGTGTCACGTTCCCTGTATGAATGTGTGACTGGTCCTTCAGTGGTGAGTCTCCAGCTCTACCACCGTCCACTCCCCCTGTGGCGAACTGCCCGTGGCCTCGGGGGAGAAACTACTCACGGAGGTGACCGTGGCAGAGGGAGGAGCGAGTGAAGGCAGCAGACTGGGCCACATGCTGCTCTCCAGGGGGCTTAGTGTGCCTCCTGCACCTCCTGGCAACAACAGCAGCGAGGAGCAACTATCTCCATTCAGTAGCAGGGTCTGATTAATCAGCTGTTGGACTATGTCCACTTTCTTCCCCCAGTCCAGATCCAAGGGTGGAGGCCGCTCTGGAGACTGGGAAGGGGAGGAACTTTCTCCATCCTGGGAAGGATGGTGAACGTCCTTTTGCTTAGGTTCCTTGTGTTTAGTAGGTTTTAGCTCGTTTATTTCTTCCTCACCATCCACTTCCTCCTCTTCACTGTTCTCCAGGGCTTCGTAGATGGTGCAGAGGGCAGAGGAGGGGGACAGCAACACCGTCTGACCTTTGTTAGACTGCTGTAGCTCCTGCTGCCATTGCATGATTTGCTGCCTTTGCTTCAGCTCCTCTTGTTGCTGCTGCAGCTGCAGCTCCAGGTCTCTCCTCTGTCTGAGCTCCTCCTCCTCCTCTTTCTTGGCTGCCTCTGCTTGCTCCTTTATCCGCCTTGCCTCCTCTTTATTGCGCTTTATTTCTTCTTCAGCTTCCTCTTTCTTCCTTCTCTGCTCCTCTTCCTGCCTCCTCTTCCTCTCCTGCTCCGCCTCCTCAAGTGGTTTGCTCTGTTGTTCCCTACGTTGTTCCAGCTCCTGCAGCTGTCTCTGATGTTGCTCCAGCCTGCGGAGCTGAGGGCTCAGCGCCTGCTGCTCGAGGCTCCTGGGAGGGAGGTCGGCACAGGTCAACCTCGGTGGGGTAACGCCGACGCTGTGAGGTTTGATAATGTCATAGTAGGCTCTGGTGTATGCTGCGTGATCGCGGCGGTGAGGGTGCGGTAGTGCAGTGAAGCCTGTGAGAGAGGAAGTGGGAAGGAAGATTCAAGTAGCATGACATACAACAGAAGGTAACAGGCAGCAGGACAGTGACAGCGGTGCAGTGTGAGTACAAGCAGAAAGGGTGTAGAGGGAAAGGGCAACCTTTAAAGGCTTGTACTAGATAAAGAAATGGTGAAAGCGCTGTAAAGCCAAGGCCGAACGTCTGCCGGTAGCCTACAGCACCAAAGTGACCAGCAGTTATCTGTAATTTTGCAAGTGACAGTGTGGCATTGTCAGAGGGGTTTAAATAATTAAAACAATGAAAAAAAAAAAATCTCAACACACCAAAAACAAAACAAAATTGTTTCCTAAGGTGAGGTGACTCAGGGCAGGGACTGGGCCAAGGGTGGGAAATTTGTGCAGAGAGCAAAAGGTTTTTGTTTCATGTTTTTCTTTTTTTTTTGTAAATATGCAAAAAAAAGCAGCCAAACTTCCTGTATATGCAATCACTATCAAATACAGTGAGACATGAACAACCAAAGAAAAGCTTACTGCAAGCTCTTGACAGTCATCACCCGTGAACAGAGTTTATAGTTAGACAACCAGTGATGCATGCAAAAGCTCTCCATGCATTTTCAGACATCCAGCATCACAAGAGAAACCAAAAATCATAGCTTGGCTTTAGAAGAACTCAAATGGAAAAGGAAAAAAGGTAGATATTGTTCTAGAGCCAAGCTATCGAGCTGTCCCCAAACACACCAATCCAAAGTAATGAGATGAAATCAACCCAGTGTGCAACACTGACATGCATAAGCTCTGTTAACATTAACACAGTGCAGCGAGAATGCTTAAAAGGGTAGTAGAAAAGAGCTGAAATAGCAACACACCCTCAGTGAACTGGAGGGAAATTGCAGTAGTAGAAGAAGAAGAATGAGCAGAGCTGGTTCCATCGATGCCCGACGATGAGGCTTCAAACTTCTTGGCTGCTTAAGATGTGTTCGAGGGTCTGATTTAGCGAATGATCAGTTCACTCATTCAGCTTGTGATATTTAGACCATTTGATGAGTCTCACTGCTTACAAAGTCCGATTTTCAAGATAAAAGTATAACTCAAGTATGTTTCTCTGCAAGTGTATGACAGTTATTAAAAGGAGATGCGTTTAATAGCAGTAATGTGAGGACTTATTATAGATACAAATCCATATATCAATGAAAAGCATTTACACGCCGTTCCCAAATGCCCACTTAAAAATAAACTGTAGAGTAGGAGGATAAATCACAGTAAAAATCTAATCTTTATTTAAAGTTTTAAGGTTCATTACTCCAAAAAGATGGATGAACAAAAGAAAAAAAGGACAGGGTACAATTTAAAGTGCAAGAAGATTAAGCCTGTGTAATGTAGGAGAGCAAACTCAAACATGAACATACAATCAGAATCTCATGATTAGCCATTAGCTTCTTAGTTCAGTAAAATGCAACAGGATAAATACACATGGAAACATCATTCCACATTTCTTTTGTTATGTTTCCGTCGTTAAGAGCTGTAAACAGACAAGTCACATCCATGCCAGTTCAGGGCAGCCACAAAATTCTGTGTTGAACAGAAACCAAAACCCAGGCACGCTCACACATTACATGTAAATAGACATAGCTATTGCACATACAGGAATTTAAGCCATATGCTCTAAATGGAAATTTAATATCAGGTTGAAGTGCCATGGTTGTCCTGTTTTTGCTCTCCGTTTCTTTTTTCCTTTTTTTGGGAGTTTAACTTTGATTACATCCACACCCAAAGATTGCAGATCAAACAACAAGAAATCTAACTGATATTAAGGGGAGACTGGTCTACAGGGCCAAAAGGAGGACAGGGTCATGATTTGGGCTGTTAGGGAGATGATGAACTATACGTTACCTGCAAAAGAGTCCTCAGTTTTATCACACACAGCAGAATAGTATGGAGGCTGGGCATCATCCAGGTTTTCCTCTGGTTGCTGTAAACGGTGAGTGGATGAACGATCTGGCGCTTCATCTGACCCCGGCGCTTCCTCTCTGACATGTTGAGCCGACTCTCCTTCCTGCTTCCCACACTCTATGTACTGCTGCTCTGCGAGACACGGCTGTGGGATCAAACAGGACTCCTTGGCTTCCTCGGGCAGCTCCTCCAAGGAGAAAATACCAGGGCTTTTGATACAGTTCTCCCCTGTGGACTGAGCGTTGGAGTTTGAAGTTGTGGTGATTGTGTCAAAGCCATAGGATGCCAGTGAAGTAGCCGAGGGTGGAGTGGTGTCTTCCCCTGCACGGCCCTCTGTCTCCGTCTCAGCCTCCTCTCCCTCTTCCACAGTGGACAGGCAGCGCTGGGCTGAAGGCTGGCTGTCAAAGGTTATGTTGGAGACTAGTGGCGTCTCCAAGGAATCATCCAGCTGAGCTTCTCCTTCCGTGTCACTGGCCTCATCTTCTGTTACTGAGGATGAGGACGGGTTGGAGGTTGGGGCAGTTGCAGGGCCTCCCAAAACTTCATCAGCAGGGAGGGTCTCTGGCTCAGTTTCTTCCTCATCTCCTCCCTCCAGATCAGGCTGTGGAGAAAGCACTGGGGTTTGTGAACTTTGTGGCTGGAGCTTTACGTCTCGGTTATAGTCCCCCAGTTCCTCAGGTGTGCTGGTCTCACTGCTAACGGTGCTTGACAGAGACATTCCAGGTGCAGAGAGGGGGGGTGGGTGCGCAGTCTGCATTGGAGCTGTATTGGTCTGATCAAAGTACATTTGGCCCTCTAGATTTTGTGGCTCCTCTTTGATAGACAAATGATGGGGAACTTCTAAGCTTTCATGAACAAAAGGGGCAGATCCCATTTCCAGCCAGGCATGAGCTGAGGTCTGAGTTGGGGTCTCAGAATCTGCTCGCAAAGGGTCTGCTAAAGGGCTTGCTGCAGCTGCTCCCACCAGCTCAGGCTCAAGAACCCGCTGTTGCTGTTGAGGTTGATGTTCTGCCCAGGGATCTGCAAAAGGGTTTAGCTGGTCCCACTGAGCAGCTGGTGCAGCAGGCAGCAGAGGCGGCGGAGGTGGTGGTTGGGCGACCCTGTTCAAGTTGTCCAGCCTTTCATCCTCAGCAAAGTCATCCTCATCTGCATTCCCGTAGCTTTCTAACCCACTTTCAGTCACCCCCTCACTCGCCATCTCCACATCATCGTCTTCCTCCTCTTCTACATCATTGTCATGCCTGGGTCTTGGCGGTTCATCTGCCCGCTCAGAGCCTACATCCATGTCAATCACCCGATCATTCTCGTCCTCATCGTCATCTTCGTCTTCATCAAAATCATTAACTGGTATGTCAGGAACCTTCTCAAAGTCAGGAGAACCTGCTGAGGCTCCTTCCATGTCAATGGCTCCTTTGAGACTACCATCTCCCAGATCATCAGTGCTTTCTGTGCCCTCCAGGACACCAGGGGCGCTCAGTTCAGATGCACCCTGCTGACTGCCGCTCACCTCCTCAGAGTCCAGCTCAGAGAGCAAGGCACCACCGGCTCTCCAAGCAGACCCCCCGACTAGTCCAGCTGACCCAGGACGGGACTCCTCTGTGGGCTGTGTGGTTCCACTCATTTCAGACACAGAAACCAGCTGGCTTCCCTCCCTCTCCTCTTCATCTTCTTCCTCATTTAGATTGGCCGGAGGGACTATCTGAGGGACAGCATTTGCCGCTGCTGGAAGGACTGCAGATGCAGAGGAGGCCTGGTCTGTTAACAAGTCAACATTCGCTTCTGACAAATCTGGAGTTGAGGCCTCAGGTGATAATGAAGGCATGACTGACGAAGGGGTTGGCTCCTGTGCTGTTGTTGTTAAGGGAGCACTGCCTTCAACTTCTTTTTTGAGCAGAGACTTCTCTGGTAAGGTTGTCTCAGAACACGGTGGAGGAGAGTGAGCCACTTCTTGGCTTTGAGGGGCCTCTTGAGGTGCCATCTCTGCAGTGGTCTCCTGAGGCAAAGCTGGGGCAGGCACCTCCTCTGGTGCAGCAAAGGATGACTCTTGTGGTAAGGCTGCTTTGGCCTCTGCTTGCGTTTCAGTTAGCACAGCTGCTGCTGCAGTACCAGCTGCAACTGCAGCTGCAGTAGCGGCTACTGCAGCAGCTGCGTTACTCTCTGACGCTTCAGCAGATGTGGTAGTGTTTGAAATGTCTTTCTTCTTGGTGGCAGAGAATGGTGGGACAGTCTGAGTGGGTTTGGGTCCACGTTTTGTTTTAGAGGGCATGCCGTTTGCCGCTTTGTTGGCTGGAGAGGAAGGTGGCGTTTGGGCAAAGGGTGGTCTGCTAGTGGCAAGTGATCGTTGAGAAGCGACGGGTTTCTTTGTGAGGGCATGTTTTGCAGGCTGTGTTGGTTTGAACTGTGATGCCTTTGAGTCCACTGGCTTCGTCGTGGATGATTTAGATGTAGTGCTCACCTTTACGGTGGCCACAGGTTTAAAGGGTTCGGGTTTTTTGGTAGTAGCAGCTGCAGCTGTTGTGGGTTTCTTGACTGCTGTAGTAAGTGGTGGTCGAGTGACATCTGGTGAGAAGATAAATAAAAATTAATAAAACATAAATTCATACACTCCTACTGGTTGATCATCATGCAGCTGATGTATGAGTAGTCAAATGCAGGTAGCTGACTATTTTAATTTGAGTACAAAGTGCTAAAGTAGAAACAAATACAAGGAATTTCTATTCCAAAGATTCACACAAACATTTTTTCACTAATATCTAAAAACATATGCTGAGACTTACTACAGATATTAAATCTGACCATTATATAGGTCTCCGATATACAGACTCAAATTGGACTTTGCTTCAGAAGAGTATCTTGTCTTCTCACCTTTCTTAGCAGCAGCTGCTGGTGGTGGTTTAGGCTGTGCTGATGTGGTCCTGCCAGTAGATGGTGCTGTATTAACTCTGGAAACAGTTTTGGCAGTTGCAGCGGTGGAGAGCTTGGTTGTAGCTGTGGGAGGCCTGGATGTAGCGGACGTAGGTCTAGAAGTTGAGAGACCTGGAGAAGGCCTGCAGGCAGAGAAAAACAATGAAGGGTGAAAAAAAAAAAAAAAAAAAAAAAACCCTAAACACACAGCTTTATTGTGTGGTTCATTCAGTTTGTTAACAAAAGTCCAAGCATGAAATCAAAGACTCCACCTCTGTATGCATTTACGAGCATAAATAAATGATCAACTACACATAAGCCACAAAGGTAATTTCAACAATGGGAATCCATTAACAGCACCTTTCATCTACAGCCACGTAATAATGCCTTCTTCACCCCCCCAAAAAATAACGAGAAAAAAAAAAAATCCCCAACCAACTGAAGATTAAAGCACAGTGAGAAGAGAAATGGGAACTAATAGCCATAAAAGGCCCAAAGAACATTTTACAGTCTCTTCTTCACCAAGGTCCTGATTTGCTACTCAGTCTGGAGTTCTCATGAGACACTGCAGTGATCTACTAAGTCACACCAACTGCAACTACAAAAACTCAATCTACTATTGCCACACACCTCACCTTTTACGGCTTCCCTAGTAAGTCCTTCACAGTATATCTGCCTCCGCACGTCGTTTACACTATGCCTACAACAGAGTCTCATTATATTACATTATAGACACTTTCATACATGAGCTTCTGACAGCTTCAAGTCTCAATTATTTCCAGTTTTTCCTTCCTCACATGTGACACGCAGCAGGAAATATTTTGCTTCAGATGAATACACACTACTGGAAATACTAATGAGAAAGGACGTTGTGTGGACAGTGTGGAGAAAGAAGTACATGCCGCCTATTCAGTAGCTATGAATGCACCAGACTATAAGCAGAAGCACACTGAAGCAATCAACAGCCTTTGTGCATCAGACATTAGGCAGTCTTTAGCCTGCAAGCTCCAAGACAAAGACTGTAAAAGATTCCAGGTTTGAACAGTGAACCCAGTACATAAATGCTTTAAACATGCTTAATTTTAGCAGGTGGCGAAGGTAATTTCGCTGACTAATAATTTGTTATAGGTGTTGTCAATTTTATTTATATTTTTTATTTTTAATTAAATGGAGTCGACCACCTGGGCTGTCGTACACTACTTCTTTAACTGACCTACAAGTAAAGAGAGTTGGTTAAATGAGCAAGTTGCAGCTGCAGGCAGGTCCAGCACTCATTGAACAAACATTGAACAAACGATGCAAAAACTCAGCCTGTAAAAAATTCATATGCAAACCATTTTTCTAACAAAGACGGACTAGTTTTTCCTTCAGGAACTACGAGGACTCTTCACAAGCACAAAAATCTTCCTTGCGTCTTCCTCTTTTTGACCTGGCCTGCTGATTTGGTAGCCGATACAGACATGAACAGGAGAATGCACAATAATGTTGATGCCTTTTTCAGTTGGGTTGCATGCTTCTCCCACATTACAATAACCATTACAATGGCCATCTGTTTTCCTAGAGATCAGACAGCCACTGTACAGACATAGCTAAGGGATGTTGTAATTGGCTGCTATCAGACAGATGATTTGGATCGTAATGTAAAGGGCAGCCCAAACACAGCAAATTGTGCCAAACATTGAGATAATATCAGCCCAGACTTAAGTTTAGGTACTGATAAAAAGCAGGAAAAAAAAAAAAAAAAAAAAAAAAAAAAAAAAAAAAA